AGTACTAAATTTCTCAGCTGAGAACATTTGCTGCTTCTATTACTGCTTTGTTCTTGATGAATGACTATGGAAACCTTTGGTCAATAAGATCATGAACTATCGAAGCCCTCCTGCATTCCTGCATTCTCGATCGAACATTTACCGAACTCGATGAGAAACTGAATGCACAGCGCGCGCGCACACACATATATATATATATATATATATATAATATGCTTGTTAAAGTGGTAAAGGCGAACCTAATATGAAGGGCCACGTATCAATTATTTTTTGAATTATTTATGAAAGAATCATGCAATAGTCAAGAATCAATTCTGGATGTGCTCATGCTCATATCCCACAATAATAAAAGAAAAAGATGATAGAATATAGACATTTGAAGAGAGAATAAAGGCAACGATCAAATATTTTTAATTTGATAACCAAATAAATTTTCATGGAAGGAATTACTCATAAAACCTCAAATTTTTATCTTTTTAGTGTAATTTCAAATAATTATCGTCGAACATTCTTTTCAATTTCCCGAGTATAAGTAGATATAAAAAAAAATCCAATTTACATTGCTATTTTTTAGAAAACCTATTAGAAGATAAGAATATTAGGAATACTTTTATTATTTAGGAAGTGGTTAAATAAGTTTTAACATTAATAGTACACATGCCAAATTTTACATGCATAATGGTAAACATGATATTGTCAAAGGACAGATAGGTAAATATATATAGCAACGCCGAAAGCAACGGGACGAAAGGGGCGTTTAAATTGCTTGCGTACTTCGCACGCGGACTGTCCATTCTATTCAACGGCCGACTTCTTTAGGCATTAAGTCGCTATCCCCCGTCATACCACGCAGAACCGTCCGTTTAAGATCGGACGGTCTATCGACGACGCTCTTTCCACGTGCGTTCCCGTCGACCTCCATCACAACCCGCTATTAAAAGCCTTCGTCTAGCTGGAAAAGAGAGCCGTGTCCGCGTTCGCTTCTCTCGAAGGTATGCGCTACTCTCTCTCTCTCTCTCTCGCTTGTTCTTCGTCTTGTGCCTCTCTATTAAGGATTCGATGCATCGAGTTGGGTTTTCTTGCTCGATCTCTGTGTTTGACGGGTTCTGCACAAGATTAATCTCATCGATCGGTCTTTCTTGTTCGTAGTAATGAGGATAACGTCGGTGATTGAGGTGATGAACAGTCTGCATGCTAAAATTTGAAGCTTTCATGTGTCGTCATCTCCTCCGCGAGACGCAGATGTTTGTAACTAGTGCAAAATTGTACTTTGCTTCGATTTTTCAGGATGATGCTGTGATTTCTCCTTATTTTTGGCGTTTTATACTTTTGTAAGCACGTCTCACTGATGTTAATTGGACACTAAGAAATTTTTCTGAGGTTAGTTGCATTACGAAGTCCATATTTAGGGTTCCATAATCGACACTTGGAATCGAGGATGTTTCATGTATATGAATGCTCTCCATGACATAAAGTTCTGTCTGACCTCTGCTGTGTTGAGATTTTTTCTCTGTTGCCAGTAGTGCTCCCATATGGTGCATATATAGCTTCGTTACTTGGTCATCATCACTAACAGCTTTACATTTCAATTGATACCTATAATTGCAAGGCAGAATTTTGAAGTTCCGTAATTGTAGGAACCTGAGAGATCTGCAAAAAGGGTACAACATGTCTGGAGGCATAGCACGCGGTCGTCTCGCAGAAGAACGCAAAGCGTGGCGTAAGAATCACCCCCATGTGTGTTGCTCTCTCTGATTGTGGGCTCATAGAAGTTTATAGCGTCAAATTGATTTATTGTACTTATATTTTAGTGGTGCCAATATTGGTAGGGTTTTGTGGCTAAGCCAGAAACATTGGCAGATGGTACTGTGAATCTGATGATATGGCATTGCACGATCCCTGGTAAGCCGGGGGTAAGTCTGATTCTAATCTCATACATGAATATCTTTGTTTGCAATCTTCATTTTCCTAGATAGCTCTTTAATTTTGCCCTTTCTTGGGCATAATTAGTTGTCTTACTATTTTTACCATGATTTGATTTTGATAACCACATGAAGTTTCTTGACAACCCGTTTACTATCCTGATGAATAGATATTTATGTAATTTGGTTTCTCAAAATAATGGTAAATATATGAAGCAAGTTGATTAGACCATTCCAGACTTGGGTGTCTGGTTGTTGCTGTGTGACTCATTTTGTCTTTTTTTCTCCTTGAAGATTTTTGTTTATTCTTCTTAATCTTCTCTTCTCATTTTTCCCCTCCTTTTGATATGTTGGGAATATGGAATTTGTTGGTTTCGTTGTCTACCTTTAGTAGCTGAACTGACTATATTGCCAGAAATAAGGGAAAAGTTTCTATTAAGTTGCCGAATGAATTGAAGCAATATTTTTCATGTTTATTTATCAGTTTTATTAGTTGGTGCGAATGTGTTATTTTGAACAACAACAATAACGTAAAGATAGTGCTTTAAAGTCTTCTTGGGATCAAGCTTAGGAGTCTTTTCTGTGATGAGATCTAATTTGGATTTGTCCAGGATTGCAATTTTCACTAAAAGATTGGTACTTTTTTCTCATGTTCTATTAAAATCTTACTTGGTCTTCCTTCTTATGTATCAAATTTTTTTGTGTTATAACCTTCTGATGTTTTATAAGGTATTTCCCAACACGTATGGACCAGTTAGATGAGTTAATGTCATCCTCAGCCAGTACTACCTCAGACCTGCTTGAGATGCAATCAATTATTGTCTTTCTTAGTGGCTCTGCTATCTCAACAATATTATCGTGATCTAACGTTTTGGTGCATAATGTTTGCTAATTACCGGATGTTATTAACACTGAGGCATGATTTCGTAGCTTGTAAATTATCCATTTAGTACCTGTTCTGTAAAGAAAGTTTCATGAAAACACAAATGTATGGTTTTTATGTATATGAATTATGCTTATGTAAACTGATATTCTCACAACATAGTGGATGACAAATTAGATGTGCAAACAAACAATTCTAGTGAAAGCAATTGTAGAGAAGCAGAAAGCTACTCTTGCAATCATATGCATTTTGATACGTGCAATTTTAGGAAAAAAATTTATAGTAATGGACTTGTATATATAATACCCTAAAGTGCAATACCTTGTTAAAACATTATGTTGAACCACTAGAATCAAGGGTGCTTAAATTTAATGCAGGCTTATTTGCAAAAGATAAATACTATCATATATTTCCCTTTTCTAGGTATATTTGGGCTAGACATCTGAGTTAAAGTCTTGTCAGGACAGGTGTGTACTCTTAAAATCATAATTTGCAATATTTGCATTGCAGACTGACTGGGAAGGCGGCTACTTTCCCCTAACACTCTATTTTAGTGAGGATTACCCTAGCAAACCTCCCAAGTGTAGGTTTCCGCAGGGCTTCTTCCACCCAAATGTCTATCCTTCAGGAACAGTGTGCCTTTCAATTCTCAACGAGGACAGTGTAAGCTACTGCTGCAAACCATCTTCATTGGCATATGTCGCTGTTAAATGTGTTATGACCTGCCTTTGTCATATGCAGGGATGGAGGCCAGCCATAACAGTGAAACAAATACTTGTGGGGATACAAGACTTACTAGATCAGCCAAATCCCGCTGATCCTGCTCAGACCGATGGCTATCATCTTTTCATCCAGGTCCGTCTTATCAAAATCTGCATGGCTTCTTTGTGGGCTTGTCAGGGCACCAATTTGTGATTCTGATGCAAGAAGCTAACATGTCTGCTAACTTACAGGATCTTGAAGAGTACAGAAGACGTGTTCGACAGCAAGCCAAGCAGTATCCTGCTCTTGTCTAGTCTCACCAACTCGTGCCATGTATCGTAGGCGATAGACTTTTGCTTGTTATTCTGACAACTAGTTCCAGTCTGAAATCAGCTATGTCAGTGTGGTGATTTGCCTAAATGCATATAGACCAATGCTACTCCCTTGTTCATCCATGTGTAACGTACTTCGTTAATTGCAAATGAATTGTTGTGATCATTAGCAATCTCAATATTACTGATCAGGTTCATCACGATACCTCGAATGGGTTAAAATTGATCCATACCTATCAGTATCTAGAAAATTTTTGTGAATGTTTATGCTTTCAGTGCAAGTTCATGAATCTGGTTTCTTGATTACAGTTGAAAATTTGCTCATTGTGTCAAGGTGCATTTGCAACTTGGGCATCACACATTGCGTCGAAGATTAGCTTCTCCATCTTACCAGTGTGCATGCTACATAACAAATTGTGTGCCATATGAACATTCCTTGTGTACACACTTTATGACATCTTGATGAACTGAAGTTGGAGAGGAGTAAAATTTGTTGTCTGTTGATATCCTTTTTGCAGCAGTAGTTTCTTATGAATATGATTTGGAAAATTGAAAGGAAATGAGGTCCTACTTATCAAGCCAATCTATGAACTCTATTCACTACAGCTAATCCATGTTATTAATCTACGACTCAGAATAAAGCACTCATCAAATGGTATCTTTTATAGCATCAACGATCTTTGCCTTGTGGAATCCATGTCCTCCATAGTGGAGTGTGACCACATCAAGTTGCATTAACAAAGATTGATGTCTGATAGTGGAAGAACATGAGGAATTTGTGCAAGAATGATTCTGTTCCCATGGTCTTAGAGATCAAGATTAGAAGAATGTATTATTAACTGTGATCATCCATCAAACATTTCTCTTGGGAATAAGATCCTAAACAATATAGGTTAATCATACTTGTTAGGATTATTTAGTTAAAAATATACATATATATATATATATATCTTAAATATACTTAAATATATTCTCATTAAGTATTTATTATTCCAAATAATAGTCAATATGTTTTTCTGGAATTTATAGGGATATATTTGTTAAAATCGAGATTAAAAGGAATGTATCTGTTAAACTAAAATGTATAGGGATATATATCAAATACCTGTCATTGGAGGGTTGTCTTTGCAATGTTGCCATCTACCTATATATACCTGCTACTAGTAGGGTTTTGTTGATTGTCGATGCGCGGTGCCTTCGCCATGGCCTCATCTGAAGCCGAGACCGCCGCCCAAGCGCCCCCGCCGCCCACTCCGGCCGACTGCAATGCCTCCGAGACAGCGGCGGGGTCCCTCAGCAAGAAGCAAGCCAAGAAACTCGCTAAGAAGGAAGCCAAGGAGGACCGCAAGCAGCAGTCCGCTACAGCCGCGGCCGCCGCCTCCCAGGTGGACTCCGCTGAGGCCGATCCCTTAGCCGCGAACTACGGCGACGTCCTGGTCGAGGATATCCAGTCCAAGGCGATCAGCGGACGCGAGTGGACCGAGATCGGCGCGCTGGGCGTGGACCTCGCCTGCCGGGCGGTGCTCATCCGGGGGGTCGCCCAGACGATCAGGCCCGTGAGCAAGAAGATGGCTTTTGTTGTCCTGCGGCAGTTCATGAGCACGGTCCAGTGCGTCCTCACGGTCGACAAGGAGTTTGTGAGCCCCCATATGGTGAAGTTCGCGACGGGGCTCAGCAAGGAGTCGATCGTGGACGTTGAAGGGATGATTTCCATTCCTAAAGACCCGATAAAGGGCACGACCCAGCAGGTACTTGATTATTCCCAATTCTTGTTGTATAAATTGTCGTAGCTTTGTTCGCTAATTAACATTTTAACTTTGAATTTGAGACTTGATGCAAAAGATATCCCCAATTCGAACTGATTTTGGTTATATGGTGTGATTTCGAGGATTGCGAATTTAGCAAGTCTATGAGGATTTTAGCTGACGAGAATGAGAGACCAGGGAGAACCTTTGAGTTTACACGACGGCTGACATTGCCCACAAGTGTTGCATTCTTGAAACCGAGAGACACAGAAATATGATGTCTTGCCTCCTTTAAAACCATAAAAAGCAGTGATAGTGTTGTTTTTGAAGGGGATTTCCCTTGTCCTAAAATGATAGTATGGAGACAGCGTGTTGGCTAACTCCTTAAATTTAAAGGCATTTAAGTCGATGCTGCTTATATGTTCTGATTTTTTTAGAGGTTGTGATGGAATCATTCCATGAAGTTTAAGGATTCTTGCTAGAGTTGGCATAAACTGATGCATCTGATTGGTTTTCATATTGGAAATGGAATAAGGCTTTATTTTGGTTTGATGTCTGGCTTGCTGGTGGCTCAATTATTCAAAGGATGTCTATTGGTGGTATTGAATTAACTGATATTGTTTTTTTATGTTTTAGAATGCATTTTTAATGGGCATTTGTATTTGTATTCAGCTTTGATTAAGAAAGCTAGGTATATATGGGAGAAAATCAGAGAGGTAATATATTGTAGATCGAGTTGTTTGGCTTCCCATACAAGTATAAGTTTTAGTGTGCATGACACTTGGCCATTGTTAGGAGGAAAGAAGCTAACATAGATTAATCAAGGGGGCAGTTTGGTGTAAACATAGAATCAAATCAATATGTTTTAATCCTATGGCTAGTGATGCTGGATAAATTACTTACTCTAACAGGTTGGTGAAAGATGGTGTTATACATTCTCTTCTTGCATTTTCTGTCAGGTCAATGAATAGTCAAGGTACCACATGTTTTGTTAGGCATTATGCTGCTGAGATTTGGAGGAGAATGTTGCATTGCAGAAGTATGACAAGGCCTATTATGAACTTTCTCCTTGAGTTCACATGATTTATTTCCAAGTATAAGAAAGAAAAAAATTGAGAAATTACATCAGGAAGGATGCACAGATTACTGGGAACAGATGAAGAAAAATTAGAGTTGTTGACCCCTTGGTGTTAGAATTGAAGTCATAGGTTATCGGCTTGAGGTCAGGAAACAATATTGATGATGGATTAATGGCAAAAATGTTGGATTAGTGATATATGACAATAATGAAATACAAAAGATCCAAGTGGAGAATTTCGTTCAAATCCCATGTACGACATTACTTGAATCAATTCTAGGTTCTAAGCCCAGAGTAATGGATAGATATTATAATCAGCTCTTTATTGTAATTTGTTAACCAACTCTGTGAATGTCAAAGATGCATGCCATTGATGTGAGATAATTGCTTGAAGAATTAATTTTCAGTTTTGTCCTGCTTGAATGGCATATACAACAGGTTTCTACCTTATATATCGATATTGTGTTGCCTGATCTTTTAGCTGATTCTTCTATTTGCTAATATTAGAAGATAGCTGCTCAACAATCCATCTTGTTACCCTATCTGGTCTTCTCCATGCCATTTGCAAGTTTCTTAATTTATGTGCCTTGTTATGTATGGCAACCCTGTTTATTAAGCATCCTGTACGATGAAGAAGTCTCTTGGATATTTTTTTGGGGGGCAGGGGGGAGAGAGAAAACAAGATTCCTTACTCAAATTTTAATCTGCAGGTAGAAGTTCAGGTAAGGAAGCTCTACTGTATCAACAGATCTGTACCTAATCTGCCTATTAATATTGAGGATGCAGCACGAAGTGAGACAGAGTTCGAAAAAGCAGAGCTTGTAAGTTTGTTTTAATTAAAATTCTTTTTTTTTTTGGTACATCAAAAGGGTTAGTAATAAGTAACAGTTTTGTGCTTTTATCACCTTATATACTTTTATGCTAGAGGTCAAACTATTATAGTATCTAGGACTGTTAGAAAAAAATTGGAAGTTCATTTGTCTTACTTTTTTTTAATGCATATAAGTTTTGGTTAATTGATTAATCTTCTGAAGGTGATAAACTGAATGACGCAGACTGGAGAGCAGCTTGTTCGTGTTGGTCAGGATACACGTTTGAACTATAGAGTTCTTGATCTGCGGACTCCAGCAAATCAGGCAATTTTTCGTATTCAGTGTCACGTTGAGGATGTAAGTTCACAATATTATATACCAGATCTAGCCCTTTTTTTTTCCATAGAAAGTTCCTTTTTGTGCTCACTTTTTCAGAAATGACCAAATTTGGTGCTAAATTCTGTTTGTTCTATTATCGTTTTTTAATGAAAAATTTGTATGCCATGCTGCTGCTGCTGACATTATCCAGCATTTTGCCTATTACATTGATTGTTACTAATAGGCTTTCACCATGCTGTCTTCTAATGTAGAATTAGCAGCATTGTCATGGAATGGTTTGCATGGGCTTATAAACACCCACTTCTGTGCCATGCAATCCTTTCCTTTGTACGGATTGTAATGACAGGGATTCTTCAATTCTTAATCAGTAGACCATTGTAAACAATTTAACTTTTTGGAAGTTGGAACACGTTAGTTTAACTATGTTAGCACCATATGCCACATGGATTGCTTAGTCATCGGTCATAGGTCTTTGTGGAAAGGAATAACATCTTTCGAGATTTGCGAGCTAATTGTGGCCTTTATTTCTACAACGTCTAATTAGTTTTTGCCTTTTCTGAAATGTAAGCTGTCTTTATGGTGTAACAGCCCTGTGTAGATTTTTTAATTCTCTTAGAATGCATCTAACTGAAACATTTTTGATATAAAAACTTCCATTGCAGCTTCACTATATTTTTGCAGAACTAAAATCAAAGCATTAGTCTTTTTATGTACAAAATCTTATGTGACCTTAGTAACAATGTGCAGGTGTTCAGGCGGTTTCTACGATCTGAGGGATTTATTGGTATCCATAGCCCAAAGTTGATTTCTGGATCAAGCGAAGGAGGTGCTGCTGTATTTAAGCTTGACTACAAGGGGCAACCAGCATGTTTGGCACAATCACCTCAACTTTATAAACAAATGGTGATATGTGGTGGTTTTGGACGTGTTTTTGAAGTTGGCTCTGTGTTTAGAGCCGAGGATTCATACACACACAGGCATTTATGTGAATTTGTTGGACTTGATGTTGAAATGGAAATTAAGGAGCACTACTTTGAGGTAGGAATTCGACTGTATTGCATCCTCTAATTGAATTATTTTTTGATTTAATTTTCAAGATTTCTTGTTGTATTTATTTGCATAGGTTTGTGATATTGTGGATCGATTATTTGTTGCAATGTTTGATGACCTGAATGAGAATTGCAAGAAGGAACTTGATGCTATCAACAGGCAGTATCCTTTTGAACCTCTGAAGGTGAAGGATATGATGTTTTTATTAAGATGATATATAGAATTCTTTAAACAATTGAATCTCCTTCAGCACATATTGTCTTTCTGATTTTCTCAATATGAAAGAATACTTCTTTCATGCTTTTGGCAAGCTTCCCCTGTATATTGTTTTTAATATCATTTAGTTTATGATTTACAGTACTTGAGGAAGACCTTGAGACTTAATTTCCAGGAAGGCATCAAAATGCTTCAGGTGCATATCAGATGAACTGGTTCATTTTCAATATCTTCATATCAAAGTCACTCATTGGTCATCACTCGTTAACATTAGGTTATGAGGACTTTTGTATGCTTTCCTTTAGTTCTCTTTGATTGTGTTGAATACTGAAAGTTAATGCAATGAAGATGAGGCTGATATAGCATGCTGCATGGCATTGAAAACAAATTTCAGCCACGTGGAGAATGAAATATGTTATTAATCTGTTGGAGGCTGACTTCATCATGAATCTGGTAGAGATTATGATCTGAACTGGTGATATGACTTATGAACAGAAAAAAAGGTTATCACTAAAAATTAATAGTTTGTTGAGTGGAGGATTGTTGGCATGTAGATAGAAACCATTGCTTTTATTTATATTAGGATATTGACATTGGATTGCAATCTGGAGAGCTCAATCGAATGCACATCATAGTGTTGGTTTTATCATGAAAGTCAAATTGAAGCTGGGACTTTGTGTTTGTTGAACCTGATAGTGATGTTCATAACATTCATTCTGGTAGAAATTTAGTATATATATGTTGCGGACACCAGACTCTTTTGTGGCCATTTTCAAAAAGCACATAGCTTCTCTTCCAAAAAAAACCTCATGTTGAATATTAGTAATGTTTTTATGTTCTCTATTCAATTAAATTACTTGTTAAAGAGATCAAAGGTTGCGATAATTTTTTTTAATCTGTTACATGGAAGTCAAATTTGCTGCATTGCTTTGGATCTCTCAGTAATTATGCAGCTCCAGCATTTAACAGTTTAATTTATTTTCAAATAATTAAAGTTAGCTACTCTGTCTCCTTTGCTTTCTGACGATGAAAACCAAGTTTCAATCATAAAGTTAGTTTTATGTGGCTTCTCGACTAAAGAAGTCCGTGAGTGATTTGACAGGAAGCTGGAGTTGAAGTTGATCCTCTAGGTGACTTGAACACTGAGGCCGAGAAAAAATTGGGCCGGCTTGTCCATGAGAAGTAGGTTACTTTTCTACTTTTGCTGGTTATATGAGATTTGTGAATGACATGCATAATCTTCCTTGCCAACACAGGTATGACACAGATTTCTACATTCTCTGTCGATATCCTTTGGCTGTGAGACCATTTTACACTATGCCTTGTTATGATGATCCAGCATACAGTAACTCGTTTGATGTTTTCATTAGAGGTGAGAATTAAGGCATTGTTTATTATTGGCAGTTTCCATTGCTTTAACTAGTCTTGAAAATGTGTGATTTCTTTTAGTCAGCTACCTAATATTTTATAGTGGTGACTAGTCTCTTATGTTTTCTGTACAAAAATGAGCAACTGATTTTAGTATATTTTTTACAAACAAAAAATATTCTCTCTTTTCACCTTGACACTTTTACTACTATAAAACACACTATTGATGAGTTCTCCTATAGATTTAAGTTCCTGTTCTCGTTACATCACAAGCAAAATTTTAAGATATAATTTCAGCAGTATTAGGTTTTTAAAAGACATGTATAGTAGCCTTTCTTAATCCATCATTTCTGTTTTAACTGTAGCAGTGCACTGTAGTACTGTAGCAGTACAGTGCACCAGTACACTGTAGCAGCACACTCAATTCCTAAAATAAGTGTGAAAAGAACTCTCTAACGCACCTCGAAAGCTCTCACATTAGCACAATGACTTGCTTGTTTGCTTGAGTGAGATCACGATGGATTATGCAATTCCATCCTTTCAAAGTCCTTGTTACACCCCCTTTGATATTGTGGCATTGGATTCTTACCAATGTTTGCGTTAGCAGTGTAGTATTTAGAGCCCTTTACGCAAATGGATGTGTCTCTTACTCCATCGGGTTTGGTGTTGAAGAAAGGGTAAGGGTAGAACATATTTTTTATTTTGACAACAACCATCAACCTATGTTGATTGGTCAAACTTTTGTCAAATATAACTTTATAATTTTTACAAATAACTTTATCTACCTTTCTAGTGAGAAAAAAATTTATTTGACTGCAGTTGTGACCACTCTTATAAGTAATTAAATGTTTATATCTTTTCTTACAGTGAGTATTTATAATTATAAGATCATACGAAGTTGCAAAATGCAAAATCATACAACCATCTTCATTTCTCTCCCTGTAATCAAAGCCCACATGCACATCTTTATATTCACCATATGTTTTCTCTACATGATCATTTAAATCTTTTCCAATTATAAGTTTTTCGATTATAGGCGTACATTGAATGATATCATCTAAGTTTTCTCAAATTTTTTTTTTGGTTTGATTATCCAATCCGACTTAAGAGGAATAAGCACTAATGATATTTAAAGCATCTTGTCTTTTCATAAATTTTAGAATTATAATTTTATCATTAAATCTTTTTACATCTATAATATTGTTCTTAAGATCCTTATAAATAACAATTCCTACACCACTTCTGTGTTTAACTTTTCTAGTATATCAAATTTTAAATCCAGTATTATTAATCTCTCTAGATTTTGTCTCTACCCACTTAGTCTCTTTTAAGCAAATAATATTTATTCTTCTTCTGATTATAGTGTCTATCAATTATAGTCTCTGTCTTGAAAATGTTCCTATATTCCAAGTTGCTAATCTAACTATCTGTTATTGAACTAACTTTTTTACTCCCATTCGTCCAAAACAATGAGAGAACCCTACTTAGCACCACATCAGGGTGTCGACGTGATGGGCCTCTTCCGGGCGACCTCCTAGCCAATCATTTGCAATTCAGGACACCTAGGTAGTGAAGGTACCTTGTGTCACTTTTGAGTGATGACCTAGCTCTATATTGAAATCAGTTAAGATCTATGTTCATGAGATTTGACATAGTTTTATGCTGGTAGTCAGTGACCCAATGCAACCTTTCACCTTTTTCATCCGGGATTGGAACTAGCATTGGTGGTTTTCTCTTTCAAACCTAAATACAATACTATTATCCAGACCCTGGTTGTGTACATGCATAAATTGCTTATAGTTTTCTGTTTGTACATGGGCCATATATTTTGCTGATAATACACATGGATCTACCTTACTGGACAAAATAAACCAAGACCTTGTTAGTGTACCATTTCTTCGGATAACACGTTTAGCTGTACGCTTATCATTAAAGTTAGGAAATGTTTTCTCAATACGGGCTGCGATGAGAAGTTGGTTTAAAATGGTTGTTTGACATGTACACTGTGCACATGAAAGCAAATTGTGGTGAGTTAATAACATCCATATAAAACAAAGTAGGCAGTTTACCATAATGTGGTTAGCTGTCTTCAACAGTCATCTGAGATTTGTGTATCATATAGTAAACACAGTGCTAGAAATTGTTCTGTTAAGCATAAGATTCTGGATGCAGCCATGATTTGTTTGTTTGAAAGAGTGTGTTGTGTTCTACATTCAGCTTTCATCTTGACAGTGTATTTGCAGTCACTTACTGTCTTCATTCAAATGTTTTTCCTTGAGACTTCAAAAGTCAATTTTCCACCAACTTACAAACAAATATCAAAATTTGTTCTTTAGTGTGACACTTGACAATATAATTTTTCTGCTGTAAGTATGGTGAACTTTTGCATTGTTCGAAGCTTTTGCTGAATAAGGTATTAGAGCTTTACATTTTGCATGTCTCTTCCCGTACAATGCAATTTCTTGACGGAAGCAAGTACAAAATAATGGTGGCATTTAAATAACTCATGGGTTAGGCTTTTGGGGCTCAGGAGCTGATTAGGGATATTTGTTTGCTGCCCTCAGAATAATGTGCCTTGGTGTTTTTGGCCTCTCATTAGTGAAGTAAACATTAATTAAAAACGAAGCAGAATATACAAAGTTGAATTTGGTATAATGTACTACACAGGATTTCTTGTGATATTTTTCACTTCTGAAAGCTCTGTATATTTGATGCCTAATTATCTAGTTATATAATTAGAAACAACTTATTGAATCTATAGACACAGCCAATATTACTCAATGAATTTGCATATGCATTATTTTGTAGCATATGCCTATTTATGATTCTAGGTACATTTTTATTTTGATTATTCAGTTATATTGTAAAATAGACTGGTATTTTGCTTTTCCATTCTTTAACCTCTCTTTTCTTCCCTAGGTGAGGAGATAATTTCAGGGGCTCAAAGAGTACACCTGCCAGAGTTATTGACCACTCGTGCGGAGGCATGTGGGATTGATGTAAAAACAATAGCATCATACATCGACTCCTTCCGGTATTTATCTTTCTGCTTCCTATTTTTACCATTGGTACTATTTATTCCTTCTGATGTTTGTTTTAACTATTTCTTGTCATGATGATTTCATACCTTTAATTCCTTGTATCACATGTTTTTGCTGGCACCAATACTCATAACAGAAAGTATACACAATATATGCACACCAATTGGAAGAATATACCCACATATGTGACGCATTCCTACCTGACTTGTGTTTTGTTCCATGACTTCATTCAAAGATATGTTTGTAATCACAGTAATTTTTACTGGTAGAATGCTCAATGAAATGGTTCAGTTTTTAGAGTGGTAAAACCACTAGGCATCAAAACATTTGATGAGGAAAAACTAATATAATTGGAGAAAACCTAATGATACGTTACATCCATTATACATCCTTTTTTATTGTAGCACCATAACTAGCTGTTCAAACTTGAAGCAGACCCTTCTCCCAGGTTAATGCTTTAGTTATCTGTAGTAACAACTTTCCTTTTGATGGTGACCTTTTAACTGTGTGTGCGCATGCACATGTTTGTGTGTGTGTGCTACACACTTGCACAAGCGTGTCTATTTGTCTTCATGTCTCTCTGTCCATCTATCTATGTGTGTGTGCGCGTGTGAGTGTTCATGTGTGTGTGGGTGTGCTTCTGTGTGTGCGCATGCATCTGTATGTGGACGTGCATGTGTGTGATTGAAGGGTGGCTTGCTTTTCTTTTTTAAGCTTCTCTTTCATGAGTTCCAACTGTCACAATCTGAAGAACCGAGTAAAGACATCTAAGTCAATAAATCTGCGTAATGCATAAATCTTACTAGAATTAGCTTTTGAATGTAATAGATGATGACTAAAATAAATTGTGGAACGTCCTTTGGGATAACGGATTACTGATCACTGCAAATATGGAAATAAGTACTGAGCCTTTGTTTTACTTATTCATCCATGTTCTTATGTTGAACTGGTGAATCTTTTCTAGGTATGGCGCACCTCCACACGGTGGCTTTGGCATTGGCTTGGAGCGAGTGGTGATGCTCTTCTGCGCTCTCAATAACATCCGCAAGACATCCCTTTTCCCACGCGATCCACAAAGGCTTGTTCCGTAACAACTGCCAGCCTCATCGCTTCCATCATTGGAAGTTGTCGTAATCTGTTTTTAGGGCAAGTTCAGGAACCCTGGGCAAGTCCTTTGTTGCTATATAAGTACACCTGCTTGATGTCTTTCTAATCTACTTTCTCGTTTAACAAGAACAATGTTTCCCCAACTCCCAATTTCAAGTGTGACTTTTTTTGAATGTATCTTTTATGGGTTATAAGCAGCATTATATGTGGGACAAACGAATGAGATGCTGTCTAAATTATTTGTTGTCGCTATCCTACTGTTTCTTGTGAATTGCTTGAAATATATGTTGCACAGGTGCTTCCATACTGATCCGAGTGGACCCGTCTGGATGGTCGGATTATAAAAATTGAAAATACTGGTTGAAATGGATCCAACTTGTTGGTCGGATTAGAAAAATCGAAAACTGATTATTGACTGATCTTTTTCACTTTTGGAATCAGTCACGTAATGAGTCAATTGACTTGTTTATTTTTGAATGATTTTTTATGAATCGATTGAATTGAATATAAAGATTAGGTTATTTAAATATTTTTAACTCAAAAAAATTTATTTACTTGTTGTAAATAAGGGATATAGAAAACCTAAGAATCGACTTAGTGACAAATTCAACCATAGCATCAGCAAAGATTAAATGTGGGGAGAACAAACGATAGTTTACCATAATCAAATAAGAAAGTGAACCAACTAGCTTTTGGGTCAAGGCTAATTACATAGTACTGTATGTAATTAGCTATTATTAGCATCTCGATCCCTATACTTTAAAAAATTAAATTGGTGTCCGTACAATTACGAAAATAAAATATCTAGATTTATTTATCTTATCGTCATTGGTTTTATTAACGAAAATATGAAAACAAAAGATAAAAATATAATTTTAACATTCCAATAATAGTGGCCAATGATGTCGATGGTAGCACCGTTAGGAGTTGTTGTGGATGTGAAGAGCGACGACAAGAGATGAAGACTGCTCGACATTTACATCAACGTTGATACAATTATCGAGCGATGAAAGGGCCACCGATGTAGTTGTAGAGTGACATAAGAGTTGAAGACCGTTAACATCTACATTAACGTCGATCCAATTATTGAGCAACGAAAAGATCACCAACACAGATGCAAAACGACGTCGCTCAACAACTACGTCAGTATCGATGCAGATGTAAAACGACGTCGACGCAAATGCCGAGCAACCCTTCTCCAATCTGCGTCGACGTCGACACAGATGCAAAGTGATCCCCATATTTCGTTGTCGCTCTCTTCATCCACAATAATCGACTGTAATCCCCAACGACACCGTCATCTATCGCCACTAATGTCGTCGTCCATCACTGATGAAACGTTAAAATTATATTTCTACTATTTATTTAATATTTTTATTAATAAAATTAACGATGTTAGAATAAATAAATCTAGATATTTTATTTTTATAATTAAAAGGATGACAGCATAATTTTTTAAGTATAAAGATGAATATAAAAATAACTGATTACAAAGTGTAATTTACCCTAACCCGAGTTCGTTCACTTTCTTTTTCAGTTATAGTAAACTATCGTTTGTTCCCCCACATTTTGTTTCTCCTTAGTAGCGCCGCATTCGTAGGCTTAAGGTGTTTCCGCGAGTAACTTTACCGCTCTCCGAGCCACCCCTATCTTCCTCCGAACCGACCGATCTCTTCCTCAAGAGTAGCGAGAGCAACATGGCGGTTGCCCCCTTCTCCCGTCTCCTTCTCAAGCCCCCGCCGCCTCCGCGCGCCGTCCCGTTCCGGGCGGCTCTCCCCGTTCACCTCCACCCCGTCCCAGCCCAGTACTCGCCGCTGCGGCTCTCCTCACCCCTCCGTCTCCCGGGCACCCGCCGCCCTCGCCGCTTCTCCGCCCAGGAGAACGGCGGCGCTTCCGAGACCCTGGAGGAGTCGGAGGCCGACGAGGGAAGAAAGAAGGAGCAGGAGGAGGAAGTAGAGAAGAGGGACACCGCAGCTTCCACCGCCGCGGCATCGGTGGCTGAGGAGCTCAAGGAGATGATGGAGGCGAGGAAGAAGGAGTCGTCGTCGTCGTCGTCGGATCTGTGGGGAGGGGTGGCGGACGAGGTGAGGGAGATCGAGTGGCCACCGTTCGGCAAGGTGCTGGGCACCACCGGCGTCGTCATCGCCGTCATCGCCGGCTCCAGCGTCGCCCTCCTCACCGTCAACGCCATCCTCGCCGAGATCTCCGACAAGGTCTTCGCGGGCAAGGGCATCCAAGACTTCTTCTGAGAACGCGCAAAACAAAACAGAAAAGAAAAAAATTAGCTAAACCTCTTCATCATATATATTTGAAATTTTTTGTACCTTTTATGTCAATTTCTTAATGCAAGCTCCATTATTCCGTGGAATTCAATCCTCTCATTGTCTCAGGTTGAATTTTTGCAATTTTTTCGTCACTAAGAACAATAAATAGAATAACTTTTTATGGACGAACTTAAATTTGCAGAATTATAAAGAATGATAGCTAATATACATATAAATCACATAATTTATAGATTAAAGATGCTTAAGAGTATGATGCATACACTGATAAGTTATAACAGCAAGATCATAAAAAATAGAAATGATAAAAAAACCACACCATGATTAAGAAAAGAATCCATGACATGCTCAGTACATGTAATAAAAATGTTATACCTGGCATGAGAAACCAATCCAAAAGCAGAAATTGATGCAGAAATGGAATTCTAAGTGACAAAGGTTTGCATTGATGCAGAAATGAAAAATTGAAGTGGAGAACAGAAACTAAAAGCAGCAGAGACAGTACCAACTTAGGCTGCATACTGGAGGCAAAGAATAGCTTTCAACACAAATATAATGCTCCACAGAAAAGCAGAATCTAACTGGTTTGTACTTGGCGAAAATAGGAAACCCTAGGGAATTATGCCAATAAACAGAGTAGATTGTGCAGCTTGCCACTGGCACCCGGTAGCAAAAGTCAAACCTTGTACAATGACCAAATTAATCTACATAAACACCATGCTTTAACAACTTTGATATTTCCAAACCTTGAATAAACTCCAAATGAAGTATGATATGTACATATATACTTTTCTCGGGTTCATCTAGAAAATTTCTTTGTTAGAAAACTCTAACCTTAAGCATTTCCTCTATTATGCATCAATTGTTACTTGATTGCTCAGCTATTGGAAGACCCATGTATTTAACCAGTGAAAAGTGGTCATCATTAATGGAACTGCATGAGCAAAATTGATAAAAGTATCATCAAATCAAATTGTTTAACAAGTACAAGAGATTGACAAAATGACAACAAATTAAAGTTCTAAGCATATATCAGTTTGTACGTGGACCTAGTCTGATGTGTCCCATAAAATACACCCCAGTTAGATGCACTTGAGTTTGTAACAGCACCCAGTCCTCCAGCATAGTCATGCACCGCTAAGGAAAAGGCACGAGACAATCAAATTCACTGCTGTTAAGATGCACAAAAATATAATGAACATGTATTTTGTAATCCACGATTGCTAAGCCTAGTCAATATCACAAGGTAGAAGTTTGCACCATTGTGCAAGGTAGAAGCCTAGACAATCAAATTCACTGCTGTAAGGAAAATGACTAACTTGGAGCGTTTTCCATCTTTTAAGCCTAGTCAATATCACAAGGTGGAAGTTTGCACTATTGTGCAATCCAAGATTTCTGAAGATAATGATCAAATGCTGCATTTCAGGATGGTGTTGTCATGACATACTGCAAATCCCCAATACTTCATTAATTAGAATAACTGCTAGTTTAATAAGGATATCATTTTTTTGGCTTGTGCAGGTAACTTCATCTACCTTAAATGTAAAAGTTTTTCTAAGCAAGATATTTAATTTATTTTCATATAGTAATGATAGCAAAATTACAAGATCCTTAAAGGATAATTTATTGTGTTGGGCAACTTGAACTATCCTAATTTGATAAACAAAAACGATATGCTATCTCTAACTTGATGCAATCAAAATGCTTATCGTGCCCATGTGTGCATATACCCCAATATAAGGATTCTGAACACTTGAATACAGTATACATTAAATTTTGAATTTCCATGATTTAAATAGTCTCCTTAATACGACGTACTATATGTGACATTTGTTATATAACTGATTGTTTATGCTTATCATAAGTTGTATTTATGATGACCATAGATTGTTAAATTGCACATAATATCACTTAATATATGAATTATAGCAATATATAATTTACATAATTGTTGTTTGCCTCATTCATATCGTGTTGTGACCTACTTCAAAAGATTTGACATATAGCTACGTCCATGTTGCAATGTGTTCATGTCCAAGCAATGTCAATATAGATTTGTTCCAACGGTTATAGTTTCATTGTGTTTCTAAATTTAGGCAGCATTTCTCACACAAGAATACAGAAAATAGAATAGTCTCTTTATTCTTCACATCCTCACAAAAAAATGAGATTGTGAGATGTAATAGAGTAGAGCAATAAAGAAAAGAAACTTTATAATGCCATGAGAACGACCAGTCTGCCATGGCATTCAGTAATGCCATGAAGTGACTGGAAGTTAAATGTATTCTTTCAGCCGATGGTTTCCATTCAGATACAATCATGATAAAATTTTTCAAGTTTACATGTAGATGAAAATTGGTTTTCTTCCATATAGAAAAATAGTCTACCCTAATTCATCCAATCCAATATATACAATGATTCAAGCATTTGTTTCCGGGGACAATGAAATATACTGAAAGGATCTCAAGTTCACAATTGCATGTGATACTACATTTTGGAGTTGATCATACATCAAAATCTTGTATAGTTTCAGAAAATTGTTGCTGATAGACATGCGGATTTCTACACTAAAAGCTTGTTTGAGAAAGCAATTACACTGTCTGGCAACTCCGTGCAAATGAAATGCAACAAAAGATGAGATTCACAGAAAGTTATTAGAAAGTAAAAACAAATATTCAACAGAATGCATTTAACACATCATACAGAATATGGAATCGCTTAAGACAATCCCAGTTCACTCACAGACTCCCTATTTATGCATTTGATCAGTTGAATTATTCATGGTATACTTTTAGCACTTCATACTTAACACACCAGTGTTCCCATGTAAATCATATAAAATACTACAATTCTTCTGCTACACATATCAGACATGATTTGTACTTGTGAAATTTGGCAAAATTACCTAAGTATCTGACTGCTACAAGAACAGCAATTAAACTATTTCATTTGAACCATTCTGCAACGTCAATGACCCAGAGTGAGAAAGTACCTGAGGCGTTTGCTCCTACTCGAATATGTGAAGCCCATGGTAATTGGCGCCTTCCCACCCTCAGAGCATTGAGTTCATTCACCTCCCAAGAGATGTACTGGTCGAAAACAAATCATTATCTTCTAAGAAATCACTCCTGTTTCTACGGATATATCTGTAGTGGCATCGAATGCGTCCACTCCTACCTCTTACACTCTAGCGACGCCTCGGGGCTTGAATGAGATCACCCTTCTCAAATACCTAAAAAAACTAGTGGATCAGTTCATAGAATCGGAGTGCCTCCTCAACATCCCTAACTCCTAATACAAAAGGGGACGAAGAATTGAAGAGGAGGAGATCACACCTTCGGATCTGGTGGTCCTCGATGCGGTGGGAGAACCCAAAAACTGACGAGATACGGACGCTCCAGAGAGAGGGAGATGGAGGAGGAGCGGCGTGGAAGCGCGGATTCAGAGTGCGCGATTCCATCGGCGGTGATGGCAAATTGAGGAGCGGAAAGGAATGTCGAATGCCGCTGTTTCTACTTCTTTTAATTATGAATTAACTCGAAAATTCTACCGCTATTGCTCGAATAAATTACAATTTCGAAATTGACCAACCTTTTGTTTAATTTTTGACCCGAGTTCAGCAATTTGGAGATCGGGTCCGGTTAGACAGGTTGGCTTGGTTTGGTTGGACCTGCGTGCGCCTAAATAGGCAATTTAGGCTCGTAGGGATTGGATTCGTGTCCGGTCAATTTAGTCTTTGTACAAACGACCGGTTCAACCGCTTGGGATCCGAACCCTATCCGTCTTGAGACCAAGGCTAATGGACCGGGTCGGATCCCATGACCGATAAGAGCCCGATGTTACCTACCTCTTACCTCTTCCTGGTTTCCACCGTTTCTCCGATCTCACCCCAAGTCGCGAGTCAGCGATGCTCCCCTTCCAGGGGCTGATCGTCTCCGACCTGCTCGACGACCCCAACGGCGGCCTGGTCGTCCTCTCCTCTGGCCTCCCCCTCCCGTCCCTCGTCGCCTCCCTCCTCCTCCTTCATGACGCCTCCGCTGGCTCTCTCCTCCTCCTCTCCGCCTCCGACACCCAGAAGTCCGCCATCTCCGCCGCGCTCCGCAGGTATGGGCAACCGGACCTCCCCCTTCCCTCTGATATCCCCGGCGACCTCCCCTCTCACAACCGCACTGCTCTCTACGCCTCCGGCGCTGCCCTCTTCGTCACGCCCCGCGTCCTCGTAGCCGACCTCCTCACCTCCCGCGTCCCCCCATCCTCCATTGCCGCCCTTGTCGTGCTCAACGCTCATCGCCTCTCCGACACCTCCACCGAGGCCTTCATCGCCCGCATCCTCCGGGACCACTCCCCTTCTTCCCCCATCCATGCCTTCTCCGATCGGCCCCACGCGATGGTCGCCGGCTTCGCCAAGGCCGAGCGCATTATGAAGTCCCTCTTTGTCCGCCGCCTCCACCTCTGGCCAAGGTTCCACGTCCTCGTCTCGACTGACCTCGAGCGTGCCCCCCCCGAGGTCGTGGACGTCAGGGTGCCCATGACGCCAGCCATGATTGGGATCCAGGCTGCGGTGCTTGGGTCCATGGATGCCTGTCTCAAGGAGCTCCGGAGGACCAACAAGGTCGACGTTGAGGACCTCACTGTCGAGAACGGCCTGTTCAAGTCTTTCGATGAGATCGTGAGGCGGCAGCTCGACCCCATCTGGCACACTCTTGGGAGGAAGACCAAGCAGCTGGTTAGCGATCTCAAGACCCTAAGGAAGCTGTTGGATTACCTTGTCAGGTAAAGAAAGTTACTTGTGAAATTTCTACCGCTGTCTACTTTTGATGCTTCTTATACTTCGAGGTTCAAGATTGATTCTTCGTGATTAAAATTTACGGCAGTGCTGTTGAAGTTGGTTCTTAATTTTAGTTTAGTGGAAATTGTTCTTGTTAGGTACGATGCTGTCACGTACCTGAAGTATTTGGATACCTTGAGAGTTTCAGAAGGTGTTCGATCAGTGTGGATATTTGCTGATTCAAGCTATAAGATTTTTGAGCTTGCAAAAAAGCGGGTTTACCAGATGGTTCGAGCAGATGGGACAAAAATCAGTGTGGACACTAAAAGCGCCACTAGGAAAAGGAAAGTTAATAGTGAGAACAAGAAAGAAACCGGAAGTGGTGAGTTCCCCCTGTTTCATTTAGTTTCTGTTCTTTTCCTTTTGACTATGTGGGTTTATGTTAATGGTTGTCTTGCTAGTATGTATCTGCATACTATTGAATCCTCGCATCCACCCATTTCAATAATGAAGGCTGGAGAAAATCTTATTCTAGATAAAGGCATCATGCATTGTATTGAATAATATTACTGTTCATTTCATCAGGGACTGGAGCTTCTTCTGCAATTGAAACAGATGGAAGTAAAGTGGATACAAAAGCTGGTGTAGTGTTGGAAGAAGTCCTGGAAGAAGCCCCCAAGTGGAAGGTGTTACGTGTAAGTGAGTGAGTTTGCTTGCTTTTCTTCAATGTCCACTTGGTACGATACCCTGTGTTTCCCTCTCTTGTTTTCTTCTCCCACAGCAGCGTAGCACGTAGGATGTCATGTTATGAAGTTATGTTCTTAAATAGCTGTTATCCTATCGGAACTTTGTTTCTAAACAGATGATTATTATGTCAAATCTATATTGTGGGTGGTGCATGCCGATGCAGCAACGATATAATACATATTCAAGTCCCTCATTGAAGTCTCTATATGGCACTTTACATTATATCTTGTATGTTTAATATCTTTCACAGTCCATCGTGCTATATTTGTCTGTATGTGTAATTGGGTGCCTATGGGATGTAAAAACAGTTTCTTCTGACAGGCTTAAGGTGCTCTTATCCAGTTTATAGCTTGTATTGGTGCCAAAGCAAGGTACAAGTGAGCAAGAGTTTTGGAGTGGAAACATGCATGGTTAGAAGGGTTCTTAAAAAGAATTTCATGGTCAAACTGTAGAAATAGAGAGTGTAGAAAATAAAGAAAACAAACATTGACATATGTTCCTACTTCCTAAGGAACTTTATTTTGTTCTCTGTTTAGTTATGGAACATATATCAAATGGTAACTTGACATATGTCGCTGGAGCATGCCATCAGGGTCTAGGCCAGACTGGCATGTCTCAGAAACCACTTTGGTGTGGCGTGGAAAAATACCATGTCCTTATCTTACAAGTGTGTACCAGTGTGGTCATCCTTGGCCAGACCACATTTGATTTTGATGACATAATGCTATGTGAAATAGATGAGATTGAAAAGGTTGTAAACTAAATCAGCATTATCAAATTTTCCAGGTGACATCTGATTTTGTAGTTGCACAATTGCAAAATCTTTTAACTTCATTAATTTTTTAAGCTTTATTAAATTTCTTTCTACCTTTTACTTAGATACATCGTACAATTTTCATTTAATTCTCCATGCACAAGTATGAATCAGATATAATAGTGTTGAGAAATTTTATTTCTTGCTCTACATTTTATTAGTTGCAGGTTAAGAGCTTTTTCTTGTCCATTACATAAAGTTCTCATTGGAAATTCCGATTTCTA